TTTGTCCGCCGAATGTCCCGGCAAAATTTGGTCCGATCCTTTCTGCCGTCATTTCCTTGGTTACCGGTAGTTGATCTACTCATCATTACAGTCTGTCCCGATAAACTTTCACGGCTGGTGCCACAGCATTATAGTTGAAGCCGACTGTGCTCACACGACATCAGTGGCGGTGAAAACAGTTTCTTTCCGAAGTGAGACTTGTAGTATCCAGTAGTTCATTACTAAGGTTGACTGCAGAGCATTCCCATGGTGTTTCGTAGTAGTGCTTATCGTCGCTGTACGTTTTGGAGTTTGCCGCCCGTCATGCTCGCCTTCTTCAGAGGCCTTAAGGAAGGCTAGCCGCTCGCCTCAATACATCAGGGTGTTGGGTTGCAGAGTCACCTATCAGAGCAGCAAGGGCAAAAGCTGGAAGCTTTCAGGATGAATGACTGTTTGGCACTCCATCTTGTGTTTCAGACTTCAAAAAAATCTGCGACAACCTGTGCACGCATTTCAGCTGGCCCAGACGAGCTGTTACGGAACTTGCTTTCATATCAAGCTACCAGTTCTGAGTGAACAAGGTTGCATGGGATTCTTGCCGCAATTGCAGGTAGCGCAGCGTGACTAGGCGTGATTGCCAGAACTAGGAGCAATCAATGCCGACATGACGTAGGAGGTTTGGGGAGCTGTTGTTCAGGACCAGCGTACAAGCTTGCTTCACCAGGGCGGCAGCTAAAGTCAGTGGCATTCTGCCGGTGTTTCCAATGTCCAACTTGGTGAGTAAACGGCAATTATGCTACGCGAGCACCCCGTCCAAACGGAATCACTACCCCGTCAAAAACACGACATCATACCACAAACAGTTATTCTTCGTTTTGAAGATCCGACGTCTGATTCAGTGGCCCTCAGTAAAAGCAGAGCCCAAGCAGAAGCATTCAAGGACTAGAGTCCCCAAAGCCCTGGAGCTGCAACTCTAGATTCCAGATGCAATTTCTTTGAGCCCCGGGAGTGTAACCCTGAAGCGAGACCTCTAAACTTCAAACTCTTTGTATCGTATGCAAAGTGTTGCACCCTTGCGTGCACGCTTGCCAGCCTCGAAGAGCTCGAGCTCCAGCGCGTGCCGTGGCAGCAAAGCTGTTTAGGTTTAAAGCTTGAGGGCTCAGGATATTACGGATCGTGCTTAACTGTCTAGATGTACGGGTGTAGGCCAGAGCTTTCAATCGAACAGCGTTTTTAAATTCAAGGGTTTGAGATGTAGAGGTTTGCCTTCTTTTGGATATCAGGGCTTTACGATCTAGCTGCTTTAGGACTATGTTCTGTTGTCGAGAGTCTGACTGGAAAGTGCAAGAGTTTAGACTTCAAGTTTGTTGTTGTGTTGTACCATTCGTGCTTTTGCAAATTGCAAGCTTCAGAGATGATCCTTCCATTGTTGGGGCATGCTCCACGAAATTTACGGTATGTGATAGATGTTTAAGGGGCTCTGAGTTCCCACGCCAAGATACCCCGAACTGGCTAACAACAGAAGCTAAAGGTGGGAGAGTGTAGGTAGGGCTTAGAGTCCAGAGTTTGTTGTTTGGGGATGCCAGTCCCAGTTGAGCTGACTATGCGATCGCTGTGGGGGCGCTTCCTGGTCTTCGGGTTTCGTTTTTCATTTTTTCGAGTCGCATACTACGACTATGAGGGATAGCAATGGTTTTGGGGTTTCGGATTCTGTGTGTCTTCTTTTTGCCTACTGCTGGTTGGTGGTGCTGGTACATTTTCCAGCAGCCTGATCCTTGTCCTCCTCCAGAAGCTGGTACGGGTCGGTTCAGAGTCTTGACTCTCCGTGTCATGCGGTTATTTGCAGTCCCCGATTCCCACGACGGAAGCGCTTTTGCATTTGTCCAACCCTCCGGTTATCCCCCCATCTTGGGATTCATTCAACCCTCACCGATGTCGAGGGCACGCTCATGTTAGGCAAGTCCCTGGGGGTTTCCCG